AATAGTACTTTAATTCTTTCTCAAGAAAAGGAAGTCATAAGAGAAGAGAAAGAAAACACAGTCACTTTTAAAATCTGTCCGAAATTTGTACAATTTCCATCAGAGTACAGGAAAAAAATTACTAAAAGGATAAAAATGTAGTTACTTAGTTTCAGTAATTAAATTCCTTTAGAATAATTAAAATAACTACAATACCTTGCTACTAACTCTGGAAATTCCTTTGTAATCTGCTTTATTATATAAACAATAAACCATTCATCCTCAATGTTATCCCCAAATTTTGTCATGCCAAACATATGAGCAGGAACACCTCCTAGAAACAAGAGAGAAGCAACCATGTAACCAAATAAATTTGTCATGGCAAATAAAAATACATGTAATCATTCAATTGAATAAACATTCATTGACTGACTATGCTCCAGGTATTTAATACTATCATGGGAGCTGAGGTTGCAATCCTGAACAAGATGTTTTAGCCCACGAGCTCTGGGGCTAAAACAAGAGACAATCAAACCTTCTCAAAACAAGATGAACTCTAGAACAGAGATATGCACTAAAGGCTATGTGAGCATAAGGAGATGATATCTGAGCTATGCTTATCTGGAAGAATGACCAGAGGTGAGCTCAGCAGAAAGAGGGAACAGCATGTGCAAAGGCACAGAGGCATGACAGACAATATTCTGGGAACACCAGGAAGCCAGATTTGGATAGAGCAGAACTTTTCAAACAAGTGCGCTATCCATAAATATGTGGAAATTAAATGATACACTTTTAAACAATCAATGAATCAAAGAAGAAATCACAAGGGAAATTGGAATATATCTTGAGACAAATGAAAATGCATGCACAACATACCAAAACTTATGGGATTCAGCAAAAGCAGTGCTAAGAGGGAAGTTTATAGTTGTGAAAGATCTCAAATCAACAACCTAACTTCACACCTCAAGGAACCAGAAAAAGAACAAACCAAACCCAAAGCTAGCAAAAGGAAGGAAATAATAAAGATTAAACAGAAGCTGGGTGCAATGGCTTAAGTCTGTAATCCTAGCACTCTGGGAGGCTGAGGCAGGAGGATTGCTTAAGGTCAGGAGTTTGAGACCAGCCTGAGCAAGAATGAGACTCCTCTCTACAAAAAATAGAAAAAAAATTAGCTGGGTGTATTGGCGCACACCTGTAGTTCCAGCTACTCAGGAGGCTGAGGCCAGGAGAATGGCTTGAGCCCAGGAGTGTGAGGTTGCAGCGAGCTGTGATGAGGCCACTGCACTCCAGCCTAGGTGACAGAGCAAGACTTTGTCTTAAAAAGAGAAAAAAAAGATTAAAGCAGAGATAAATGAAATAGAGAATAGAAAAACAACAAAAATGAGTTATTTTTTTTAAAGATTGCCAAACTATTAACTAGATTAACTAGGAATAAGAAAGACTCAAATAACTAAAATTGGCAATGAAAGAAGGTACATTACAACCTATGCTACAGAAATAAAAAGGATTATAGGAGGATACTATAAACAATGGCATGCCAACAAATTGGATAACCTAGAAGAAATAGATAAATTTCTAAAAACATTCAATGTATCAAGACTGGATCACGAAGAAACAGAAAATCTGAACAGACCAATAACTAATAAGGAGATTGAATCAGTAATTAAAAAACCAACTGGGAGCAGTTGGTTTCACTGGAGAACTA